GAGTCTTCAACCATGACTTCGGAGGAGATTTCTTTCAACTCGTCCTCAGCCTTGTTAATCTCCATACGTAAAGACTCTTTCTCAGCTACGGCTCGAAGATATTGAGTACGCTTGGCCTTTAGTTCAGCATTCTTGGCCAGCATAGAAAGGACCTCGGAGTGGATGACCTTCAACGTCGCTTTAAAATCGGCAGAAAGATTGAGCGACGGAAGCGTCAGTGCTTGCTCCAACTTCGCACTCAAGTGCTCAAGTTCATCCTTGTGTCTGGCAGCACTAGCCCTTCCAATATCCATATCCATGAAGGATACGTACTCAAATACCGACTCCTTCAGGAACTTCAAATCTTCCTCTGAAGAAGCAGCATGACAATCAGATGGAGCAGGGCGAGGCGTCTGAACTTGTCCCCAGGAAGCGAACAATTCTTGGATAGAACGCACGATCCTGTCAGCATCCTGCAAAGGAAATTGCCAATATTAAAGATGCTCACTATAACGAACAAAATAGAAATAGAAGTGAAGCAAAGACTACCTCATCAACAATCGTAGAAGATGGAATGCCCTCAACCAAGTCTGCCACCAACGACTCCTCCATTCGTGAGGACTTTCCCTTGTCTGAGCGAGAAGATGTTGCCACAACGGGCAGACTCATAGGAGTATCTACAAAACTCAAGAGCAACAAATCAGAAACCAACAGCACGAGCAAAGGTAAGACATCAAAAAACTGAATTACCTTCTGCTTCGATGTTTGGGGGGTTGACACCCTGGGAAGAAGGTGGCTCATCCATGGGTTGTGATAAGGACTCTGGGATTGAAGATATCTCTTTAAGCGTAGTCCCCTCATCAACTGGTTTGGATGAAGTAGCCTCAGCAGAAGATGATGGAGCAGGAGTTGTCGATGTCAAAGCCTTTGAAGGAGAGGCTGAGCTTTTCTGAGAAATCCAAAAGATCATCAGCACACAGAAAAGTTTCAAATGTGGAAAAGTATACTTGTAAGTAAACCAATTTAATTACCTTCCTCCTGACGATAAGAGGGGCATCATCATCATCATCAACATCATCCTCCAGAATGGGAGATGCTGAGGCTGGCCGTTTACGGCTTGGAGTACTCTTGGCCGTAGTAGGCTTGGCAAAGAGAGAAGAAGATGGACGAGAGCGACGAGAAGGAGAGGGGCTCCGAACAGACAAAGGAGTGACCAAAACAGGAGGAGGAGAAGAAATGCTCGGTTGGTCTAATGAATGAAAGGTACGATTGGCATCAGTCGCAAATAATCTGCGCTTCACCGACGGCTAGAGTTGTTCGAAAAAAGGGTGAATGGCGTGGCTAGAATTGAAGGGGGCCAATGAAAAATGACTGGTTAAAAGAAGATTACGAGCATCTATAGCCTCTGCCTCCGCCTTAGTAATGGTATGAAAATGGTCAACTAAGTTCCTTGAATAGCAAGGAGGAACAGGCCAAGTTTGGCCAAAACCAAGCTGACGAGCAAAAAATTAGGGAGCATAAATCTCTACCCCCGCTTTGGCATTGGTCCCAGTTAGAATATCATGAAATAGCTCCCTCCCGGTTAAAAAATGGATCCAAATGAGCAGGGAGGTGCTCGCATTATCTATAGTGGAAGGGGGATGTACATAGTTTGGAGTCAAAAAAAGAGGAAAAGGAAAAAAGGAAGGGATTGAATCCAAAGAATAAAAGAATGAAAAATGTCCCTTCTGGACATATTTACAGGAGTTAAGGGCTCCATGGCTAGCCCATAACAGCTAGCAGAAGGGTGAGAAATGGATGGAGCACCAAGTGATGGAAAATAGGATCTCAACCACAGTTGAGTGAACCAAAGAAGTCCACTGCCAGTGGGAGATGCACCATTCTTCAATTGAGCTTGAAGAGAGGCCATGCCTCTATAAAGGGCAGCAAAAAACAAAGAACATAAATTCAAAGGCCTGCCACGCGCCAATTCGTGCATTATAGGTAAATAACTTAGAGAGGGCTTTATACTTGGCACGCACAAAACATATTTACAAAGCCAAACTAAAAGGAAGGCCACTCGCTCAGTATGGGTAGGCTCAGCGCTCGAATAATTGTGGAGGGTCTGCAGGCTTGAATAAGAATCGGTGTAGTTTCTACCAAACTTTGGGCCGCCATCAGAGACTAAGATACCAGGAAAAATGGTATCGTCCAAAGGTGGCAGATTCACCAGAGCCCCAACATCTCTTAAGGTAATAGACATGGAGCCAAGAGGGAAAATAAAGGTGTTATACTCAGAAGACCAAAAACTCAAAGCAATTGAAAAGAGTGCTGAATCAAAAGTAAGGGGGTGGATAGAGATTTCCAACAAATCAGAAATCCTAGCGCTATCAAAAAGTGCCTTGGTAGGACCATGACCCACAAGGCGAGCATGTCACCTACGAAAAGCTATATCAGATTTAGGCCAAGTGCGAATACCTCTTTCGCGAAGTGGCCCCAGCGGCAGAGAGTTTAGAAAAGGAGGGCCATGAGTGCAAGAAAACAGCTGACCCACCGCCGCCTGTTCAACTACCTCCGCATAGTTGAAGAAAAGACCCAAGTAAAACTCATTACGTCCAACGTCGGCGGGCGCGAGAAAGCTTGGGGTTATGTATGGGCGACTCAGAAGTCTTTGAAAATCATCAAAACTAAAGAAATCACTAGCTTGAGATTGTGAAGCAGCCATTTGAGAAGGAACGAAGCTTTTCAGGGTTACGTAGCAGGGAAGCAAAAGATGAACAGTGAATCGTGAAGGAGACGCAAAAAATATGAGGCGTGGTTTGATGGCAGTAAAATGGCGTGTTTGGGGTTTATAAGGGTTTACAAAACGACGCACCTTTTCAAATTATAGAAGGAAACAATGATTAAAATTCTTGGGAATTTCGAATGTTGCTGGAAACACAAAGTGAATATGGCAAAATTTAATAATTGTTATTAATTCTGCCATATTGGGGAGTAATTGTTGACACATAAAAATTCAGTCCAAATCGAATAGCTCAAGGAGTGAAGCCCAATTGGAGAATCCCCATATCAGATAGCCCAAAGAACGAAGTCCAATCGAACAAATCAAGATGAAGGCCCAAATAAGGAGGCCCAAGAACGCGGTAACGCCATCGCCCAAGTTTGTAAGTCGCCCAGAATCTGAGCGAATGGAGTGTCATACAGTCGCCCAGAGTTGTTACTCTATTCTCGTCCAAACCTTCAAGTCGCCCAAGGTATTAACAAACATAACACGTCGTGGTTATCAAGAAGTGCAGTTATTAAAGCAGCCCTATCACGTTCCACGATTCAAGGAATTCAATCGAAAGCGATTGAACAATGAAGGGTAATGGCAGCAGTTAAAAGACAGTTTCCATGACAAGGTGGCCATTACGAAGAAAGTGGGTAGTTATAGGACGATCAAGCAGTTTTTAGAGCAGTTGATTACAAAGAGATCGCCTATGAAGTATAAAAGGGAGAAATGACGTAAAAGCAAGGGACCGAATCCGAAACTCTCGAACAGAGAATATGTAATTTTCATTTCCTTAGTTTTTAGATTTAAACACTTTTCTTTCAGTAACTCGTGTGCTTGCGCCCCTTGGAGGCAAGTTGTTTTTCATTTCCAATTGTAAAGTCATCGCCAATAAAAGAACACCCCTTTTTGAGATTTTGTCTCAAGAGGTTTGTCCCTTACACAATCCTCTGACCCTTTTTAATTGTTAGCGACTAACCCGCGCGAAACAGAATCCAATACAAGGTTTTCCTTTTGGACCCGACCAACCCAACATTGGAAGTCTTGGGGTGCCAATTCCATGTAAGAAATTTCGACTTTACAGTTTTCTGTCTCATCCTGTTGCTATGAGCTGCATATTTTTCTGCAAAAGTATGCATATTAGCTAAACTTCATATAACACGCTAGGGATTGATTATACGTTTCGGGTTCTATGAAATGTGTGGATAATAAGTGATAGTGATCGTAGTTTCTACTAAATGTGTGGATAAAAAGTATGTTTTACTAGCTTAAATTATAAATTTTGCAAACACATGCACAGAATCTTGTTCAGTATTTGCTTATTTTCTCATTACCTTGCAGTCCCACAAGCAGTCTTCTTGGCACGCCTTGCAATGTCTAAAATAAGAATATATACTCCGATGTTTCATCATCTTCATATGAAAATTTATGCATATTATTCTTGTGATTGTGTCAGCTCCTGATATCAATGGCAACCCCGAGTCATTTCAAAGGCTAATTGATATGGAACTTCAGGCGAGGTCAAAGCAGATCCACCCTCTTGCTGCTGGTCGTAACCAAGGAGTTCACCATCACGAGTCAAGACATGGATTTCCGACATAGATAGTCAAGTGTGAAAAAGAGTTCAACATGGCAGCATGGTTTGTGTCTGTCGTTAGTTGTCGAACATGCTATTACCATCCTGTGTATTCTGTATGTGTACATATCTGTGAATGACAGGGCACACTGGAATTTGCGAACCTAATGAAAATGGGGGAGGAAAAACCCTTTAAAAGGCTGTTGTTTCATGTTTGTTGGTGCATAATTATAACAAGTTCCCAACTTTTTTCTCCTCTTTTTGATTTTCGTTTAAAATGCTTTACTATTTAGATTTTGCCACCTGAAACGCAGTTAGTAGTAAGGATCTTGGCTCGACCAACCCGATGAGCAGGCCCATGCAGTAAGTCGAGCACGAGTTAGCTTGCCTGAAGAATTTTGGGCTCAGCTCGTCCTGTGAACTTTTATCTTCATTGACAATGAAGCTCAATGGAAAACCTGAAAAATCTATTTTGTGAATGTGTAATAGAAATCCTCTTTTATTCGGATTTGATACCGCATATGTAAGTAAAGTTAAGGGGCTGTTTAAACACATTTTCCATTTGATAAGATGAGAAATATATCCGTTGGTGCACATTGCTCTTTGAAATTGTAAGATGTAAGTCAACAACTGCGTTGTATGAGAATCCAATAAACAGCATGCAGGATGATTGAGCAAGTACTACAACATAAAAGATCATGTAAAAAACCAACCTATTATAGATCACATTGTCTCAACATTTAACTCTCAACAAGCACAGCGACAAAACTATCAAAAACTAGTCGATACGATGAGTTAAATAAAACCTCGTAATACTTTCAGAACATGTACACAAGATCGAAAATGAAAAAAACATATATATGCATAACAGTTTCTATGAACTCGTCTTAGGACGCCTAAGAGAACAGACCATTCCTTCACTGTTTCTACATTATATGTACAAACGGCATGGAAAATGCAAGATGAACCCGGACCTTCGTGTTCCACTATTCTTCAGTAGACCTGAAATAAGCAGAGGATGTCGGAAATGGAACTTTATGAACTGCAAATGGGACGTACACCTTCCTTTCTACGCAGTTGTAATTACATTCCCGAGTTTGTCAACCTGAAGATTTTTGAAAGGGCTATCGAACCTATCTTCCTCGATGCCAACACTGTGTGATGATAACATCTTCCTCTGTATCAATAATAAAAAATAAACAAGATCGAGGCAAATGATTAGATAAAATGCTTTTTGTAGGCAATCAGTCATTTACATTAATTGCATAACTAGGCTGCCACCTTCGGAAAAAAAATAAAAATAAAAATAAAAAAATAAAATTTGTTAAATGAACAGCTTTTATGCTCCACATAGATTTGACAACTGTTAAGAAGAGACACAACTAATAGAATTATATGGAAATATGTTATATCAGCATGATTAAGAATAAAGTCTCTTAAACTACAACCAAAATTGTTCAATGACTGTATTTTTCTTTGGAGCTTAACCAAACACGCTAATAACTAAAGCTAATATATTAGGCAATGCATCGCAAAAAGAAACTGAAATTCAGCAAGGAAACTCCATCAGCAGCTGAAAAAAGTATTCTTAACAAATGCGAGGCCGAAAATTTCAATACAAGTCAAAAGTCCAATTTTTATTTGAAGAAACCACCATAAATCGCTGTGTTCATTCATGCTCAAACCCAAAGGGTTCCAAATAAATGACCACAAAGTTGGCTTGTGTTGGGTGTCTCGTCTTAAGACTCCCAACACCTAGGAAAACTTGAGATCGATCAATGTTCCAGCATGCACAGTTTTAATAAGTATAGAAAAACCCTTCTGCAGCAAGATCCTATAATTGTAGGCGTACGAAAATAAAGCCAAAGATAATTACATTAGCCAGTGATACATGGCAGAGAGTTGAACAGTGTAGTCAAATCATATAAATGTAAGGTGGACATCACATTCACTGTGGTCGAACTAATGCATCTACGAATTTTGAAGTTGAACGTTCAGGGATCATGAGTTTCATTAATGTAAGCTGGATGAGAAGTTGAAGTTACACGTGTCATTCAATAGCTTCTTTGCAGAATATGTAGTTTAAGATTGGATCATTGAATTGGTAGAAATGAATTGGGGTTTTGGCTTCATTCATGGACGGATATCCCCTCCAAAAGTCCAGGAGATTGAAATCAGTGATTTAAAGCATCTAACAGCCTAACCACCGAGTTAACAAATTATTAAATTCAATTATAACCTTAGCATGCATTGAGCAACAGGAGGCAGGCACAACAGAAAGGGAACTGGGGTAGTGAAAACTTACATGATTCTCAAATTCAGGACTCATCAAATTTATAGATAGATTCTTCATCAACATCACCGCCTGGAAAAGAAAAATCGATTAGAATGTTAATAATCAGTCAAATGTTTCACAGACAACTCCTAGAAACACAAATGACATATCCACAACAAATAAATAGTCAAAAACAGCATAAGCATGTTTGCACATTATTTATAAGCAAGTGTACACACTTCCTTCAGGGAGCAAATTTTTATTTTTCATTAAGATTGACCGTCCTCTATAATGAGGAATACCTCAATACTGAATGATCAGTTTTTCCTAGTATGGAGAGCTGGTCCAAAGCTTGTTCAGCAAACACAAAAACTCAAATGAGTGTGTGTACATTTTACTTAAAGCTCAGATAAGGATGGATTGTGCACGTTATATGTTCTGCCAGCTCATCCTATTTGATGAATTGATCTAAATGTCACAAGCCCACAATTTAATGGGACACTGGATTATACCTGCCATGCAGATGGTCTCCTCACACTTCTAGACTTGTTAAAACTGTTATTGTGAGACCATAGTCTCATCTGAGTCTTCTTACTAGATATTTGAGATCATGAATTGATGGCTTCACAATAACTAGCTTCCGTCAGGTCAATTAGAAGAGATGAAAATAACTAAATAATTTTACAATCTTAGGTCCACGCCCTATTTGAGGTTGGAAAAAGAAATATTCACTTATAGGAGAAGCCAAAGCCCAAAAGACTGTTTGGCGGATATAAATTCAGTAGTAACTGAATCTCCCCAGAAGAAAACTAACTGCATCCTATATATCCGTTTATAGGAGAAAACAAGGATGTTGTTCTATGCAAACGATGTTTAGAAATAGTTGATAGTCTTCATAAGCAAATTAACCACATCAGGTATTGTTCACACCAGTCCCAGTACAATTGAGTAGCACCACAACTAACACAAAATAAACTTGATGAATAATGATGCGGTCAAATCAGACTTACTGTTGCAACATTTATCTGGTCCATCTTCTTTAGTCTTTCCAAGTGATCACTTGCATTAGGGTCAAAGACACTACCAATAAAGCTGTAGACTTTTGCAAAATCAGGCATAACTGCATCAATGAAAAATATTTGCTTATACATCACTTATTTATCTAATATGTGCATAAACAGAAAATATATCACTTCTTAATCCTAAACAAACTCTTCCGATTTAGAAAGTGATACATATAACTGCATATCATACATGGACCAAACAGCTTCAGTCAAACAAACATAAATATATTGACCTGTAGAGTCACAATGCTGCTCAAGCAACAAATCTAACTAATGCGGACACTAAACTAAGTTGTAAAAAAGCAAAAAAAAAAATGTATATTCCTGATATAAACAAACAATGCACTTGAAATAACCCAAAAGTCAATTATATTCCTGACATAACATATGCATTCACACATAACCGAAAGCTTTTGAGCAAAAATGATGCCTTGTAATAATAATTAATCTGACGATTCTTCGTATGGCTTTGGCTCCTGTTTGAAGTATGACTACATAAGAACATACCCAATCATGAAAGCGAATAACTAGATAAACAAAGATAATTAAATTTTATCAATACACACTTGTTGGCCAACAAACATTTTTTACTCGCACAAACACAGTTTGCTTGTTTAAACCTTAAAGCAAGACATCCTGGTTGTCTCACCAACAGTTTTCCAGTATACAGGGGCAAGTAGACAGAAAGTTTATTCTGACCATTTTTCCACCACTTGAGAGGTCATCTGCTTTTCTCTGTCTCATACTAAAACAATACTAGATGTAGCACTGAGTCATTAACAGTGAAGTACAAGTCAACATGAAAAGGCAATAACTTCCTACACTAGTTTTATCATTTATGTATATGGAAAATAGATGGTTCCTTGATTTAAAACCTCTCTGGACTTATATGCTCTTGCTAATTGAGGGTCTACGTTCAACTTTCTTATCCGATGGAAGTTCAATGGCTGACTCCCCATACCTAGGTCCCACCACTAATATTATGAGTTCTTTATCTAATGTGCTGACTCCCAAGTTCCACCACAAAACCCTATGAAATAACATGTCTTTCAGCTGTCTTAATGTAATGTGCTCACCATGCCTTAAAAAGACATCCCTCAATTCATTTAGAAGTCTGCAAGCAATAAATGGGAGTATGGAGCATTATGAAGAGGCTTTCACAAATTCTGTAGATCAGAGGTTGCTCTGATCTGTTATTGGCCACTCTTTCTTCAAGAAATTCACAGATCATACACAGATAAAAAAAGAAAATTACCTTTTGTTGGTGGGCCTTGTTTCTCTTTTACTTGGGAATTTGATTCATTACTTGGCAACAGCTGAGGAGTGCTTTCATTACTGCCACGACTACATTTACGTGTCACTGCTAAACTGGCTAATCCCATGTCATCTGAACCACCAGAATAAGACATTGTTTAGGCAGGATGACACAATTGACTTCTCAAAACAAGTTTAACTACATGCATGTTTAAATACTAGAATCATACCTCTTGACATGTGTGACATACTGCCTGCGGGAACAACATTATAAGTCCAAGGCGATAAGGCAGCCCTATCAATTGTGTTTCCAGGTACTGACAACTGATCCGGCCTCACAACATATCCAGGCTCCAGTAGAGAAGCTGAAGACTGCAATGATCCAGTGGCTTGAGACACAACTGTTATAGGCAAGAATGCAAGTTAACTACGACGAGTTTGAGATCACAAGAAGTCGTGGAAAAAAAGAATAGAAAAATAGCTACAGCTCTTGCCTTTTTTGGGAGCCTTTTGTGGATATGGATGGGCTGCTTTTCTCTTTGGACGTGGCGGAGGTACGTGTTCACTCGTTCCATTCTTCTGGGCCTTCAGAAAATATTTCTGAGCATGGCTACGAATCTGCAGAGACTAATCTTTAGAAACTGCAGAATCAATGGAACATGCATGCAGTTTCAATACCTACTACTTGTAGCTATCAATTTACAGAAAATATTCATTCTTTATTCCTGAGTGGCGCTCAAAGGTTCTCAGAAAAAGGTACGAAAGGGTTAGCAAATTTCATGCAGCTAGTTTGCAAGAAAATGGATGTCTGGTCGATTCTACAGAGTCCTATATATGAAACACCACCGAACTTATATCACCATTTTCTAGTAGTTGTAGAACGCGCTAGGCACTATCTTTCCTATTGCTTGCCCTTGCTTTTTCACTCTAAAAGGGCGGGTCTCTCTCTTTTAAAACAAGATGAAGAAAAGGGCGGAGGCTGAAGGGTGATTCGGAATTTCTTTTTTTTTTTTTTTTTTTTTTTTTTTTTTTTTTTTTTTTTTTTAAGTTTTTTTCTTTTTTTTTATTTTTTTTTTTTTTTTTCTTTTTTTTTTTTTTTTAAGTTTTTTTCTTTTTTTTTATTTTTTTTTTTTTTTTTCTTTTTTTTTTTTTTTTAAGTTTTTTTCTTTTTTTTTATTTTTTTTTTTTTTTTTCTTTTTTTTTTTTTTTTAAGTTTTTTTCTTTTTTTTTATTTTTTTTTTTTTTTTTCTTTTTTTTTTTTTTTTAAGTTTTTTTCTTTTTTTTTATTTTTTTTTTTTTTTTTCTTTTTTTTTTTTTTTTAAGTTGATTACTTTTTATTAACTTATTTTCATATGCTGATATAAATTATGATTTTATTTTCATTTAAAGAGTATATGTTTTCAAAAAAATATTTCGTTCCTTTCAACTTTTGAACAATAGAACAGCTCATCAATCAATTTTAGGAGTATATGTTTTCTCAAAAAATATTTTGTTACTTTCAACACTTGCACAATAGAACAGCACAACAATCACATTCTTGTCAGAATTCTTATATTTACTTTTTTTGCCATATTTGTGGTAGGTTCCAATTTAAAAAGAATTTTTTTAGAAAATCTCTTTTCACTTCTTCAACCCATATTTCATTTTCCTGATTTTTGAAATAGAAAAATACTTGAAAAAGGGAAAAAAACATAATACAAGGATGATAAAGTAAAATTTTCCAGACAATAAAAACATATATCATTGCCACACCGCATAAAGTTCTCAGAAAAGACGAATGCTAAAAGAAGTCTGACCATTTGCTTCCTATTAGACTCATAAAGAAAACAGTTTAAATTATATCAAAATTTGTAACAACTTAGTTACCTGGATAACTGTCTTTGACCCCACAAAAGCTTCAATCTTTTTCCATTCACGGTCAAATCTGAAAGTTGAGAGGTAAAAGAAAGCAAAATAAAATCAACACAGGTCCAACACGATAAACAGAATCAGATGTCAAATTTCAATTTTCATTCATCATTTCTCGTAAAGAATAAGGAAAAAAGTCATTCACCTTCCTGAAGTCATATACAGAAAGCAGGCTTCAAGCAACTACTAAGTTGGCAAATCAAGGCTTCTTCGTAAGTCCCACAAAATATGGAACATACAAACTTCTACAATCACCTAATGACTTAATATACAAAATTACACTATTGCTGCAACTAATTTTTATTAATTGTATAGATTCCAGTTTCCACATTCCGAGACTTCAACAATGAAAGGTTACAACCCAAATTTGTTTTCGTCACGAGTATTCCTTTTTCGAAACACACAACACATGGGGCTGAGCAAAGAATCTGAAAATTAATATTCCCAAAAATTAAAAGAAAAAAAATGATTATTTCCCATTTTGCGGAACAGAGGCGATAGTAATATGCAATCTCCTCTGAACCAGAAAAATTTTAGTATATCAAATCTCTATGATTTCAACGAATATAAGTTATCCATAACCTTCAAGCTAAAATAAAGTCTACGCACGATTACCAAAATATACAAATCTGAAACATTTTCCAAAACAGCCAAAAGTTCCCAAGCACAATTTTTACATAATGCCTATTTTCTGTCTTAATAAGTATTCTAATCCCAAAACCAAGGAGCATAACCAATTAGTAAAACAACTACAATTCAAGAAACTACCTAAATAACTAAAATGATCTTAACTTCCCATTTGACTCAAAAAAAAAAAAAAAAAAAAAAAAAAAAAAAAAAAAATCCCAATTAAAAAAAAAAAAAAAAAAAAAAAAAAAAGGAAAAAAAAAAAGATTCCCAAAAAGAATTCGAACAACAATCATAATCCTCGTACACAAACAGATACATACAGTTGAAGGGCTTCGAGGAATTTATCGTGCTCTTGCTCAGTCCAGCTCTCCCTAGACTTGGTTATAGTATACGGCTTCCGGACCTTCTTATTCTGGTCCTCCACACCTGCACCCGCATTCCCGCTTTCCGCCACTATCAATAAATTGTTATCAGCATTCCTCATCGCCATCGTACCCGTTTTCATCGGTTCCCCATCCATGTAATTGTAATAACAAAAATCCTGACCACGTACTGGATTCCGGCACACTGACACCATATATAACACGAAATTCTACCTCAAATCCTCCAAAAAAAAAAGGGTTCTTTGAAAAAAAATTTGGGTTTTTTTGTTTTTGAAATTTCCAGATGAATTTTTCGTTTCAGAGGTTTTTGGTGAGGGGTAAGGAGCCGTGAAGTTTTAAATAGGACGCAACCGACTTTGTAAGGCAGTAGCAGAGTGAAATCTGAGCCATACACGTGGCGAGTGGCGGGTGATGGGCAGTGATTGTTGCCTCTGGAATGTGTCATCATTTCTTTGGAGGATCAGATTTGAGATTTTACTATGAGAGACATAGTTTTTTAAGAAATTTTGACCTGGAGTCCTCAAACACTCACTCCAGTATTTCTTGAGTCCCCATTCTTAATTTTTCTGGCTAACAAATCTCCAAACTTGAAAAATCACGTGCATGGCACATGACATGTTTCTCAAGGGTATTTTAGTCAAGAAACTTTATTTCTTAAAAACAATTAAACGAAGGGTAATTATATTTGGATTATACTACTTGTACATAAAAATAGTATATAAGAAATTATATAAAATGATGTGGAAGAAAAAGATTGGATGAAAAATTTGAATGTGTTTTAAATTGACAAATGAAAGAATGACGTGTAATATTATATAATTCATTATGTAAAATTTGATGTACATGTAGCAATATCAATTATGTTTAATCACCATGAGTTGAGCTCGTGTGACATGGGCCCCACCTTATGTGAGAGGTATAGACACTTCTATGTACAAAAATTATATACAAGCAGACTTTTTCTTTTGTTTATTGCACTACATTTTATTTTCATTGGAAGTTCTCATTCGTTGCAGTTAGGTAGGGATGGCAATCGGATTCGTCGGCTCGGACCGCCCGTGGTTCGACCTGAAAAAAGCTCGAGCTGAGCCCATTTTGGAATGTCGGGCAAAGCCCGAGCTGACCCATGTGGCTCATCGACTCGAACTCACGAGCCTATATTTATTATTTAAAAAATAAAATTAAAAGGACCTGCTGTCTTATTTGAAATAAGGCAGCAAAGGCTACCTTAAAAAATGGCAACACTCGGCTGCTTTTCAGCAACCTGCTGCCTTATTTATAAGGCAGCAGAGTGTAAAGGACCGCAAGGTCATGACATGAAACTTGACAAGACACGGGAATGTCATAGCACAAAGTGGGAAAATGAGATAGACTTATGGTAAATAAGGTCTAAGTTTCGACGGTACAAAGTGATGAGTGCGTCGTCAAATTCAGTGGGAGAGTGACTTACGCCTACGCGGTCGCGTTCGACCCATCCCTGTAGCGGCCGCAAAACAGCGTGGACAACACGCTTCAACAGGACAGAACAGCTTGCGATAGGAGACGCAGGCAGATTTGGTAAAGGACACAGGCAGACTCGGGCTGGGGACGCAGGTAGCTTGTCTTGGGCAGAATGCAGGTTGCCTAAATCGTGCTATTTTCCAGCACGTTAATGAGGTTTTTCTAAATCCCGACCCAGCCATTTTGGGAGGAAAAATACATGAACCTGCAGCGGGATATTTTGAATATGCAAGTCGACAACTTGCACAACTTATCCACTAGTGCCCCTTGCAAGATATTATCAAAGACGCTAGCTAAGCACGAGTTGGCAAAGATATTATCAAAGATGCAAGCTAAGCACGAGTTGGCAAGAATAATATAAAAAATGCAAGCTAAGCACGAGTTGGCGCCAACTTGCAAGGAACATGGTAGAGAATGTTCACTTGATAACAACTAAGCACGAGTTGTAACCAACTAAGCACGAGTTGTAAAGTGGAATGTTAAGGAGGTTTAAGTTTTGCCTATAAATAGAGATGGAAGTCTTATTTTTAAATTATGTAGAGAATGTAGAGTTAAGTGAGTTTATTCTTTAGAGAAATTGTAAAGTTTTCCCTTTCATTTATACAAAGAAAGTTTTCCCAACCTTACTTATTTTCCATATATTCCTTACTTCAAAATTCTCTTCTCAAAGTGGTTATAATTTAGCCTCATTGGTTAAATTATTTGTGAATGTGGAAAGGCTGACTTAACGTTTTCTCGTGAGGGACGGAAATTGTCGAACGTTAAGGCCGCACGATTCTAGTTTGTTCGGGTGTAATGAAATTAGATCCGTGATAAGTGGTGAGGTGAGGTGACGTCCGTGTAAGGTTCACGTGGTGTGGACTACGGAGGCAGTATCAAGGCAAAGGTTTGGTTGTGGTAACCAAGTGCGGCTATGGTAGCTAGATTCGCCGGAGATTCTTGGAAGCTAGATTTGGGTGAGGTGCTCAAATGGCGGAATCTCAAGAAACTGTTGATATTGAGATTGAGGAGAGGGGTGGAGGTGCTGCCCAAACTGAAGTAAGGAAAACTCGAGGCAAAAGTAAGGTGAGGGGAACCACCAACATGGAAGGGAAACTTGACCAAATCATCGCAAATACGGGTGATCGGGTCGAATCTCTTGAAAGCTCCTTCGAGGCGTTGGAGGGACACGCCATTGGAAAGCTAGAAACTCTACAAATTAATGTCCAAGAGGTGATGGACACACAAGCATCGTTGGGGGATGATGTCCAAACGATGAAAGATGATGTTCGAGCTGTGGTAGCCGGATAAGCCGCGGTGATGGATGATTTTGGTCGTCTCCAAACCAAAGTCTTGGATGCCATTTCCGCTATGCATGGCCAAGTTAACCAATTGGCTGTGATGATGGAAAGAATGAGCAAAGAGCTTGATCATACAAGCAATCCACTACCAGTACAAGCGGAGGTGCCGCTTCAACTATTGTTGCCCCGAGGATTGAATACCCGAAGCCTAAACATTATGATGGGCGACGGGATGCCAAAGATGTGGAAAACTTCCTATGGCAAATGGAAGTCTACTTTGAAAGCGTAAATCTTGTTGATGAAGCCATGAAATTCCGGACTGCTTCTATGTATCTCTCGGATATTGCGGCGTTGTGGTGGCGTCATAAGCATGGTGAAATTGCAAGTGGGGCTTATGGGATTGATACTTGGGACGAGTTCAAAAGGAAAATAAAGAGGCAATTCTACCCGGAGAATGTCGTCCATGAGGCCCGCAAGAAATTGAGGGAATTGAAACATACAAGAACAATTCATGACTATGTTAAAGAGTTCACGACCCTTATGCTTCAAATCACAAGCATGCCGGAGGATGATTTGTTATTCTATTTTCAAGACGGTTGTGCAACATGGATACGACAAGAGTTGCAACGTCATGATGTCAAAACCATAGGCGAGGCCATTGCAGTAGCCGAATCCTTGACGGAGTTTGAAGAACTTGAGACCGAAGCTAAAACTATCAAACCCGCCAAAAGAAATTTTGACGATAATAAGGAAGATATAGGGAAAGCCATGCAATGGAGTAAGCTGGATTGGAGGCCAAATCCCAAAGTTGATTACAGACCCGTTGGCAACAAACCAACTACTTGGAGTAAGCAATATGATGAGAAGAAGAGGAGTAATTTTACACCTCGAGGTTGCTTTATTTGCAAAGGACCACATCTCATGAGGGATTGTCCTGAGTTGGGATCATTGGCATCTATTTCCCTTTCGGAGAGCAAACCAGAGGCCATAGATAGCCAAGATGAGGATGAAGTTCGAATGAATTCCTTCCAGCTGTTTAATGCTATGAGTGCCGAAACAGTTTCTGTGAAGATGGAAACACAACAACTGTCAGGGATGCAGTTAGCAGAAGTCCTTGAAGATGATAAGGACATTATGCTCGCGGAGATTCCGAGGGAACTATCGAAAAAGAAGAAAATTGAGGAAGCATTGTCAAAGAAGTCCGAAATTGGGTGCATGAAGGTTTAAAACTTCGACAGGTGTGGAGACACTACAACCGAAGGAGTTGTCCATCCGAGGAACCAAGGTAGAAGTGCTGAGGGTGAAGGTTGGTGTCGAAGATGGCATGCAAGAGGTTGCAACGGGAAAAGGTGCAAGGGGCACTGTGGAAACCGGTCATCGAGGAGATGGTGCCACAAGTTGGGAGAACTTTGATGCCCATTGACGTGAAAGACAATACAAGGTTGCATGAGGATGTACGGAATACGTTTCGCTATGAGGACGTTAGCGAATTGAGTGGGGGAAAATGTAACGGACCGCAAGGTCATGACATGAAACTTGGCATGACACGGGAATGTGATGGCAGAAAGTGGGAAAATGAGATAGACTTATGGCAAATAAGGTCTAAGTTTCGGCGGTACAAGGCAATGAGTGCGTCGCCAAATTTAGTAGGGGAGTGACTTACGCCCATGCGGTCGCATTCGATCCGTCACGATAGCGGCCACAAAACAACGTGGACAATAGGCTTCAGTAGGACGGAACAGCTTGCGATAGGGGACGCAGACAGATTTGGCAAAGGACACAGGCAGACTCGGGCTGGGGACGCAGCTAGCTTGTTTTGGGCAGAATGCAGGCTGCCTAAAAATCGTGTTGTTTTTCATCACGTTAATGAGGTTTTTTTAAGTCCCGACCCAGTCATTTTGGGAGGAAAAATACATGAACCTACAGCGGGATATTTTGATGATGCAAGTGGGCAACTTGCACAACTTGTCCACTTGCGCCACTTGTAAGATATTATCAAAGATGCTAGCTAAGCACGAGTTGGCAAAGATATTATCAAAGATGCAAGCTAAACACGAGTTGACAAGGATAATATCAAAAATGCAAGCTAAGCACGAGTTGGCACCAACTTGCAAGGAACATGGTAGAGAATGTCCACTTGACGACAGCTAAGCACGAATTATAACCAACTAAGCACGAGTTGTAAAGTGGAATGTTAAGGAGGTTTAAGTTTTGCCTATAAATAGATATGGAAGTCTCATTTTTAAATTATGTAGAGAATGTAGAGTTAAGTGAGTTTATTTTTTAGAGAGATTGTAAAGTTTTCCCTTTTATTTATACAAAGAAAGTTTTCCCAACCTTACTTATTTTTCATATATTCCTTACTCCAAAATTCTCTTCTCAAAGTGGTTATAATTTAGCCTCATTGGTTAAATTATTTGTGAACGTGGAAAGGCTGACTTAACGTTTTCTCGTGAGGGATGAGAATTGTCGAAAGTTAAGACCGCACGGTTTTAATTTGTTTGGGTGTAACGAAACTAAGTCCGTGACAAGAGGCTGCCTTAAAAAATGGCAGCACTTGGTTGCCTTTCCTCGTTTAACTTAATTTTAAAAATAAAAAAAAAATCAAAACAAAAATCGAGCCTGCTCGAGCCAAAAGCTCAAGTCGAGCCTAATTTTTTTGGCTAAGCACGGCTCGGACCCCAAAAAAAGCTCGCTCATTTTACCTTGGCTCGGCTCGTTGATATCCCTACACTTAGATTCTAACATTTTTGGCCATATTCTTTTCTTCAACATTCTATTAATCGTCATACATGAAAGTTTATATTGAAGCATTATGTTAGTTTGCTTGTAAATTAAAATTTTGACTTCAATATAACTACCTTTAAATGGAAAAAGAAAAAAAAAATAAAAAAGAACCGAAATCCTCCATCTTGAACAATCCCCATATTGAGACTAAGGAGGATGTATTCAATTGAGACTTTTAATAACTTTTTGAGATTTAAAAAATTTAGGAGTATTCAATTGAGACTTTTTGAAACTCTCTAAAATTCACAGTGTATTCAATTAAGGCTTTTATAGACTTTTAAAAAATCTCTAAAAGTTACGGTGTATTCAATTAAAACATTTTAAAAGTCTCTATAAGTTTTAGGGTATTCAAATTTTAATGATGTCTAGAAACTTTTATAAAAGTCTCTGGAGTACTAATTTTTAAACAGAAAATACTCATAATATTTTAAAATTTTTCTCTTATTAATCACGAGATTTTGGGAGACTTTCACTAACAAAAAAATAAAAAAACTTTTTTTTTTCGATCTTTCTTTCCTTTAATCTTCTATGGACATGTATAATTAAAACTAATTTTTTTCTATTTATTATATTCCATTTATTTTTTTCTCTCTCTTATTATTTTATCTCTATTTCCTATAAAAAAAAAAAAAAATTTGATTCTTATAACTTTTTTTTTTCATTCATTTTTTCTGAAAAATACTTATATTTTTAATAAATTATAAAAATTTATAATTAAATTTGAATATATTGATATTTATTTATTTTTAAAAGTATACTATACTAATAATATTGAATCATATATATATATGTATAATTTTGACTATTAATTATTTAATTAAGGTCTTAAATCTTTATTTTTTCAAATTTTTTTTTTATTATATGGGAAGAAGAAGATGAAGGAAAATGGGAATTATGGGAACTAACACCTCATATGTGAGAATCTTACACTATATCCATGTGAATCCTATTTCAAATGAAAGTTTTCAAAAGCCTTTTAAATTCCGCAAAAGTCTATAAAAATTTTAAAATGAAAATTCATAAAAGTCTACGAAAAACTTCCATTAATTCCATACAAATCTTTAAAAGATTCACGAAATTCACAAAAGTCATCACTTAAAAAAAAGTCTATCAAAGTCTTCAAAAGTCCCAATTAAATACACCCCCTAAGTTTCTTCAAAAACCATCTAAAAGAATCTCAATGCACCTATTATGTAAGTTTAGGATGTAATCGCCAAAAAATTAAGAATGAGGACTCAAGTGATACTGGATTGGGAAACCCCCGTGTGTTCACTTTCATTAGATTTTAATATATATATATATATATATATATATATGTGTGTGTGTGTGTGTGTGTGTGTGTGTGTGTGTGTGTGTGTGTGTATCATTTAATATCTTTTTAAAGTCTAATTGGCTCTTATCATTAATTCCCTTGGATCGATTGATTTTTCCGAGTTAGGATAGTAGAAGTCACACACACTAATTGATTGGAGATTTCCGAACTTATCAATCATCATTCGTTTACAAGTAACATGTACATTCAACATATTATAATTACAATTGTGTTACATATACATCACCCTATACAAATTTATTTACCAAGAAATGATGTGGAAATTTTTGATTGAATCAAAATCTCATCAAATAAAATGAAAAAACTTCCCCACTTTTTTCTTGACATATCCATCAATTTGTATGTGAATGGTGATATAAAACAACTATTTTCCTTAAGGATTATTCTTGGTGTACACCAATACGGGGGTGTAATGGACACCCTTATGTACCCCCTATGTACATCAAGAATATTCCGGTCCTCTTAAAATGGAAGCTTTTTGGAGCTCCTTGACAACCGAAAAACAAGCTTTAAACAACAGAACTCTCCCATAACCTACAACAAATTTATCAAGTGTGACATCTACAAGCAATACAAAAAATCTTCCAATCCTGATTTGAACGTGACAATGGAATACTTTTCGACTTGCAAGGTCTCCTCAAACATCATAAATCTTAAACGTAAACAAATTTTGCTGCACGCGTTGTGAGCTATCAGTTCTAATGTTCAACAACTTAATCAAGCCAGCGAGTGATTCCATCTTCACCCATGGCTGCAACAATTTCTACACGTACGTCCAACACAGCCTGTCGTTATGGAAGATGTTTTAGTGATAAAAAATATGCGAGAAAAAGAGAGGATATTGCTTCAACTGGAGATGGATAGGAATAAACCCATCTGCTCATAAAACATTTCTGTTTCTCAAGCAAATGGCACGAGGAACAGCTCTAACAGCCTAACCCCCATTCAACGGATGGAAAGTGACTGTAAAGAAAAGGATCAAGGCGTGACACACTAAATTGGTTGTGATGCATGTTTACAAAATGATCATAGAAATAATTTTGGATGCAACAAAAATTTACTTGGAAATGATGTGTTCAACTCAAAATATTCCAAAGAAAAACGAATAATATAGTACCTATCTTTGAGTGACAAAATGGCTGAAAATTGTATGGCACAACTTGAATGCTAATGAAATAAGTAAATAATGACTTCATTTGGTCAGGTTGCAACCGAGCCTTTGAAATTTTAACCTAACAATTTTAGTTTCAAAAATTGATGTATATCACAAAACGTATTAGCATTAAAGCTATAATTTGTCAACTGCCATAAGCATATTGTATATCAGTATTTGTGCCTGTTCCTGGCCAGACTAGATGACATTGCAACCTATGATTTACTAATTACAGGGTGAGTAAGAAACTTACCAAAGGATTTCTGCAATTCACCAGTCTACACTCTTCCAAAGAACCTTCAAATGTCCAGCTCTCCCAGACATCAAAGCTGTGGCTAGCAAAGACGAATTCCATCCTCCTATTTATCTTCAATGTTAAAGTGAGACGTTTAGATAACTAAATTTTCGATTTTTGTCAAAAATATCTATCTCAGATATGATTTCCATATGATATGTAGTTAATCACGAAAATTTCCATATGGTATGTACTTAATCACAAAACAGAAGAAAAAATTTCACAAGTCTAGACTGTTAGACCGAATTAAATGAAAAAAATAATTGCGTATAATAAACTATTATAAGTACTTTATAATAAAGTGAATCTTAAAAAAAATACTTGTTTGTTTCCTGTTTCAGACTAATCTAAAAATATTAATTTTAATTTTGGAATATTTGAGTATCAAAAAAAATTCAACAACAATACATCTATGGAGAACAAAATGCAGACGGCAGATTCATTTATACCAGAGGGCACTTCAACAAACAATTTAAAACTTGTAACTATTTCATAAGACTGAATTGAAAAACAAAACCACCCTATTTCCCAGCTCATAATAATCTAAAGGATCCTTGATGAAGACCAAGAAGTGAGAGCATAGTCACATATTTCTCCACAACTCTTAAAAGAGAAGTTCGATGAATAACAGAACAATTTCCAATGCTCCACCATTGAAATGTTAACATCATTACTGGTTCAGCAATAAGAAGACAGAGACATTTAGGAAACATTAATAAACAATATTAGATCACCACTTCGGAAGCTAACAATTAAACTTTCAGCAACTTTTATTACATTCTCCAAATTCCACCCCTTCAGAATTTATGACCACATACATCAATAGCATAAGGCTAATATTGCAAGACTGAGACAGCATGTTGTACCTGCAATAGCTTTCCTCCAGCAGTAAATGATCTCAAACCAATTGTATCCTGCAAAAACAGAAATCAAATAGAATAAGCTTTCGTAATTTCTTTCTTCTATTCTTTTTCCTTTCAGTCTGAAATTGTGTCGGTGGCTAATGTCTGGCAAATTCTTTAAAGTGTATCCAACAACCAAAAAGAATAAAAGACTGTCGCATATGGACAAAATACACAATACTAAAGTTCTTATCAACAAACCTTGTTTCGGAGCACAACAAGGAATTGGGCTGCTGGATCTCTTTTTGTTACATTGGACATAGTGTCAAGGAACCAGCCACCACCTTTAACTCTTTGTTTTGAAACATGAAGTGCAGGGCGATCTCTAGCATGTAAAGCAATAACATAACCATCTTTCAGCAGTTCGCCAGATTTCCTACTCATTTCAATGCTTGATTTCAAAAGCATCTCGGAAGTTGATTCCTGAACAGAGTCAATTGCCGTCTTCCTGTTTCTTGAATCTTCAGGAGAAGCAAAACGTGATCTAGAACTCAAACCTTGATCCGTGCCACTCATATTAGTATCATCTTCTTGATATGATGTGCTCTCTTTTCCAAAAGCCAAAGCATCATCTCCTTTGTGCTTAGACTTTTGGTGGGAATGCCTCTTTTTAGCCTTCTTACTTGATCTGCTTCGCTTTACTTCAGATCTATTGGAAGTACTTTGAGACAAAACAGAACTTTCATTTTGAGTTGAAGTATCTTTTGACTGATTTACTAGCTTTTTCTGGGAACTATCTGCAGTTAAGTGAATATCTCCACCCACTCGCTCACCAACAGAATCTTGGAAGGAACTGACATTATCTTGACACAATTGAAGTTCATTTCCCACCTCACTTTCCCCTTCTTCATCATCATCAGATACTGCATTCTTTGGAATAACATTATCCACGAAGTACGTCTGAAGTATGGATATTGCCTTTTCTCTTATTTCCATCCATACTTCTTCACTATAGTCTGCACTTCGGGGAAGAATCAAAACATTGGGCATCTCCCGCACCTGAAGTCACGTCATTATAAATATTATAATAAGGCCCAGAAGGTTAAAGGGGAATAATTATAAACCCAAGAAGATGTGAAACATAGATTATATTTTACACGAAGAATCAATGATATAAAATTAGTTTACAATAGAATCCATATTTCTGATCTATGCCTCTTGCAGAGGGTTTACTTCTAGATGTAATAAGAAAAAATGTAAAAGGCATCACTTCAGACACACCAGGATATTAAAGTTAATTAGTCTGTTTGAGTGTCTTCACAAGAATAGCAGCCATATATCAGAGTCTGATGCAAAAAATAAGAAAAGCAAAAGGGTATCGTTTTGAATTAAAAATTTGATGTAGAACAATGAAAATATGTTATTGCAGTTTTCTGTTTTCATTCTTCAGCAAATACATGTGACAGAAAACAATTCAAACTTTTCAACTTTTATATCTGATAGAAATAATTCTTGTAAATCACATTTCACATAGCTTGATAATGAGATCAACCAAAGAAATGAACTGAATTACTAAATACGTCGAGGAAAAAAAAAATTGGTGTCTTTTGAAGTGCAACACCAAATATCATTAACAACCAGTATAATGTGTCTAAAAGGACGCCAACCTTGATATAGTGCAAAATTCTAGGAAGATTTTTAATTGACAATTGTCCTCACACCACTTGGAGGATAATGACTTTCAATAGTGAATTTCATCGAGTAAATATTTATGTCTATATCTGCACAGTTCTCATCTGCTCCATATCTCAGAATACAAATTTCACCAGAGGGGCGTAGATTCACTCATGCAACTTGAGGTATAATTAATAACGGGGGTTGAAGCAGATACAACTGATTGACATTAAAACAGTCATTTCAATCTGCTAGACATCAGGCAATAATGAATTCAAGACAGATAATGTAAAGTCATTTCAACTTCAAGGGGGGAAAAAGGCATAATATGTCTTCGAGCAAATGAACACCGTAAAAACCATTCCTACAATGCATTCATACCCCTAAGACTACTCATCATACCCATGCTTCCATCCACTGGGGCCCTTCAGCACCATCCAGAGCACAACCTGCAAGGGTACCATCAATCAGAAGTTGTTTCACAGCACAATCATCCAATAGCTGGCTGCTACCGGTATTCACAAGAAATGCCCCTGCATAAAAGTTTTTTCCTTTATGAGAGACTTAGAAAATAAATATCAAAAGCTGAAATAATACATACACAATTGTAAATCATAATTACCGGGCTTTATGTGCTGCAAACAATCTGCATTAATAACCTGAACGGTTTCATCAGTAAGTGCACAGTGTAGTGATATAAGGTCACTTGCAGCGAGCAAGTCATTAAGAGTCTCCATTCTTCGAGCAGCAGGAGGGAATGCAATGGAAGATCTACTTACTTTTCCAGTTCCCTATGTACAGATGTGAGATTGAAAACCTTCATTAAGGAGCAGCAAAATCAAATCATATATTGTATGATACAATCTTCATTAAAGTCGGCCAAAGAAAATTCCCCAATTGACTCGAAATTCACAAACAAATAACTACTAAATGTGCGCAGCTATCAGAATATCCTCCAATTGAAACAGTAATTGCATAAAAATAGAAATGAAAAACGCCAAATTTCTGTTGAAGAATGCAAAGTAAATAGAGTAGCATAATTTTGATCTATACCTCATGAACATCAAAATAAAGCACACTCATTTTAAAGGCCAAGCTCCTCGCAGCCAGGGACCTCGCGGAGGCAGATCTGCCTACGATCCCTAAAACGAGACCGCGGCATCGCCGCATTCCACGGCATAGTGGCTGAACAGACCCGAGCCACCCTGAAGCCGAGAGCGCATGCCGCGAAAGGAGGTGAGTCCGCCGGAGTAAACCAAGAATCAGCGCCATGACTGTATCAGCAACCTCCTCAGCGCGGCTAACATCAACTTGGATAAGCCGGCCAAGACCCAGATCAGCAGCGAGGGCAGAATCCATAGCCCGGTCGGAGGATCCGAGGCAAAGAATAAGCTGCCCAGGGCGTAAGCGTCGCTGGGCGGCTCGTGGGAGGAAAGAAAGCGAATGGAGCAGCACTGCCATCGCAGACTCAATCCGCGCGTCGGCTAATCGGCTCAGCGGCACGTGCTCCACACGCGCCACTCCCATCAAGCATTCCTGTTCCAAAACCGTATCCTCAATGCAATTTAGCGTCACCACCAACGGCAGCGACTGCGGTTGATTTGTAGAATTTTTCCTTTGAGGCATTGCCACAGCAGATCTTAAAAATCAACTCCTCCTCCCTCTATTCACATACATGTATATATATACAAATTATGCTTATATATGTGCTAAAGAAGAAGAATCATCATCATTTCGGTTCATGAAGTGAAGTTCACTACATATAAGAGCCCTGATTTTCTCTCTACAGAAGCTTTGTATTTCCGGTGAAGTCCCAAATCTTTGTAGGAATATGCTTTCTCGCTGCACTTTTGATATTTACATCCACTTTTAAAAATAAAATTTTATTATCTTTTAAATCCTATATAAATTTACTTAAATAGACCTAAAGAAAATTAAATAAAAATATATAACTCTATATTCATTCACTTATTTTTATTTTCATTAAATTACCCTAAATCTTTATACATTCTTTTAGAATTGTATTTAACTAGAACCCTAATAGATAAGAGAAAATTACATGAATATGTTCGAAATATTTTAAAACTCAGAACTTCAATAGACAAATAATTTAGTAAATAATGGAAGAGACGCCACTCGAGCAAATATAAACAAACATAGCAATTTATGAAGAGGAATTTGAAAAAGTAGGTTACCTTTTTATCGTGTTTTGTTGTTTGATTTTTGTTTGAATTTGGACGTTTTAATTATCTTTTCTTGATTTTACATGTTGTCTCTAAGTCTAACTGGTAAGGGCCTTTGGTCACCGAGCAATCCATGGCGTAAAAACTCTTTCTTGATAGTTGCTTGAATTGCTTTATTTTTTCTCCCCTTTTAACTATGTCAGAAAGCTAATAGTGCATATGTAGAAAGTGATGTTTTATTTCTTAAATTATTTACCACCCCACTTCTCCAAAAGAAGAAAAAAACAAAAAACAGTTTTTCTCTTTATCTGGTTTTAATTCTTTGTTGTACAAAATCCTAAGTTTTGGCACACGCATTGCTCTTATCTAGAAGCACAATGTCCTTAAATGACTTTATGTTGATTACCCCTATTAAGGGACTACAGTGCAATTTCTTGTAGATATGGTACAAAAATAAATGGTTGCTAAGTTGTTGAACAAGAAATCCAGTAAGATAAACTTTGAAAGTACATAATTATATAGGTTTGTTAATTGATTTCTGTTGAGGGATTGTTTTTCAGTAACTTCTAACCTTCAAGCTCTAAAACGATTCTTGTTTTTCCTTTTACGACATGTTTGGTAAAGATGATTGTAAAACAATGGACAAGGCCTTTTTTTTGGGTGTGTTTGGCATACTCATTGAAGATTTTGTTTGGCTATGTTTATACGTTGGTTCTTGGCAGTGTCAGTGTGAGTGGTTAAATTGAATATATATTTGTGCGCGTGCGTCTTTTTGCATGACCTTTCATTTTTTTGATGCAGTATTATTTAAAAGTCTAAACCAACTAACTGAACAGAACCAATTGGTTTGAAATTTTTCTAAATCGACTAATTTAGTTTTGATTTCAGGTTGGGATCAAAACCAACCTAAAGCAAACTGTGCCCAGTCCTATTTAATTTATAGTTGTTTGCTTTGATGGATTGAGTTTTAAGAACAAGAACGATAAAACTTCTAATCTAACATGGTTAAACGAATAATATATGTTAATATAATGTTCAATCAGTTCAACTTTATTCTTAATTCATTCATCTGGTTGAAAAGAATTTATAATTTTAGAGAATATGTGGATCTATAATATTAGATATGTATTTAAAGTGGGATGAATATATAAAATTCATTTGGATATATATTATTTAAATAAATGAATTTAATAAGAACAATATTGGAATATGACGTGGATGTAAATAGTATTTTTTTTAAAAAAATTAAAATTTAATAGGGATGAACTTAGAGGTGCATGTAAATATAAAAAATATGGATGGAAAATAGCAGTTCCCTTTTTGTATTCATGTTTCTATTATATTTTGTAGTTTAGACCCTGTTTGGTAGCAATTTTTCATCCAAAAAAACTAATTTTTTACCGTTATTTCGCTATTATAGTTGTCATTTTTTATTTCTTGACTTACAAGTTGACCCATTTGTCTTTTTAATGATCAAAAAATCAATTCTTATAATCACTACTGAACAGTCTCTTAGAATATTTTGGCCAAACAATAATTTCAAAAATTAAAAATCAAGTCGGGTGAGATTTCTGCTATTGCTTTTACTTTTACTTCCATGCGGAAGAATTTTCATAGGTCAACTTTCTTTTAAAAAAAAAATAAATAAATAAAAATAAATAAATAAATTAGTTAGACAAAGCAATTTCAAAATATTAACATCTAGGTCGTCAATATTTCGTTATGCCTTCTATATGTGATTATATAAAAACTCCACCAAATGAGAGATAAAATGCAAGAACAATGTTTTACGTTGTGTGACAAGAGATAGTAATAGCTTCATGATCCATATGTTTTCTTAAACGAGTTGTAAAATTTTTCAAATAAGTTACTCTTATCCTTACAAAACTTAATTTTATCACACAGCGAGAGCTCTTAGAAGAAGCTAACCCAATCTGACTTTCTCCAAAAATTCTTCCAGATGGAGGAGTTTTTTTAGAAATTAATTATCAACATCAATTAAAAATTCTTCCTACAAAAGATATAAAGCAAAAGTAAAACCTGCCAAACGGGCCCTAAATTTAGAGAAAATAAGTTTTAAGCAACAGCAAAACCCACCGACTCAAGAAAGCAATTAAAAGTATCCATCCAGCAAAAGAACTAGAATTGACGAGGAACTAGACAAAATCTCAGTTTCTCAAACTATCTTCCGTTGAGTTATTGACTCCAGTAGCTGCATTTCACGTGATCCGCCCAAACTACATTTTTCAACAATTAAATTCGAATAAAAAACATGAAAAAAGTACAAAAGCTCAGTTTACTCGCCAGAAATAACCTCCCGATTACTTCATACAAAGAAATATATACGTATAGCTAAGGACTACATAAAGATTCATACAAGATGTAGCATTCCCTTGTGACACGATTGGCCAAAAGCCGAAGCCCTCACTTAAGAACATGTTATCAGGCCCAAACTCAAGAATCAGACAATGCAATCTGCGCCTACCTGGTCTATCGCAATTAACTAGCTGCATTATGTGCTTCCTGCTTCCTCAGTTGCAATCTCGAATGGTTATACTCCACTCTTATTCCCGAAGGAAAAAACATAATTCCATTTCAGTCATTTAGCCATATCATTGCAAATATGAGAACTAAAAGAACCGCCTCCTTAAATTCCTAGTGGTAGCTTGATATGAACGCATGAGCAGGCCAACACCAATTCCCACACCAAGGCACATTCCAAGGCCTATTCCTACACCAACCCTTACACCAGCATTGAACCATGTAAGTTGCCCATCTTCACCATGGTACATGTCTTCCGAGTAATAGCTGCATTCAGCTTTCCCATCCATTTCATACGCATCCATGTCTGCATCTGTATACTGCAGAAAAAACATAAGGGATCAATTAGTAACATGAGACAGGCAGGTGACATTAAATTATTCAGTGTGCATTTACTAAAGAAAAGAAAACTTTCTTGTAGCAAAAAGAGAAGATTCAAGAGAGGAAGTAACGGTACAAAAAAGCTTCCATATTCCAAACAGAGGGGAAGGGGATTCAGAAATTTGCTTCCCAGCATGCGGTCAGAATAAGATTTGAATAGTGACTTTCATATCAAACTGTTCTGCTACTTGTAAATATCCTTGTTATGTGAATGGATCACCCTGTACTTCGAGCATACTGAAGTACAAGTTCTAAGAAGATTAACATAAATACAATTATTCACCCTGGTACACAGAGTATTAAAACACAATATGAAGATCTTAACAAACAACTTAGACATTTCTGTCTTAATTTATAAGAAATTTTTCGTATAAAAAATGCTAAATTATAAGGCTGGCCTTTAATATAGCAGGAAGCAAAGGACCCTAGTAGTTATTTTCTTTGTTTGTAACCACATGCTGATGAGGACATCCAATTTTAATTATTCTAGTTGGATTTAGGTTATTTTAATTTTATGGACTTGTGTATTGGGCTTGGCCCAAGGTTTGCAGTATTTTCTAGTATTTAAACCTTAAATAAAAGAGTTGGCTTGCAGCCGTTTTTCCCCTCTTCCCCTCTTTCCCCGCCTATGTCTTCTTCTTCTCTTCCCTTCCCTTCCCTTCCCCCATCTCTTCTGTTATACTTACTCCCCATCTCTTCTGTTATACTTACTGAGTTATTATTCCCCTACATCAAATTGGTATCAGAGCAAATCCTGTACAGCAATTCACGCAGCATCAATACAAAACCCGTTGCTGCAGACAAAACAAAACTTGCTGCAGAACCCAGTCCCTCCCGCTACAAAACTTGCGACAACCAACAAGTTTTGTTTCAGCTTCAGCTACATACAAACTTGCAGAACCCAGTTCTCGTTTCAACAGAATCCAGTTTCACGCCTCCACCGCTTCTGCATATGTTCCCGTCCACTGCACTTCACAAAATCAACGGCAACTGCAAATCCCCAGCAACGGCCATTGAACCCCCTCACACCATATTCCCCACCACAACCGCCGCTGAAATTCTCCCCATCGAAAGCTGCCCGCAGACCGCCCGGACTTACAGAAACGGAACCCCAGCCTCACCGCCGCCAACAGCCGCCAGCAAACTGCCGGCTGTTCCAGTAATCGCCGGCCAAGCCCAACGTCGTTGAGATGTTCCTCGTCGGCCAGTCCAGTCGCCGACTTCTGCAGCCTTCAGTCGCCGACTTGTTGTAATGAATTATAGGGTTAATTGGATTGTTAATTAAGGGGTTGGGTTATTAGTTATTGGGTTGGGTTAATTGGGTTATTAATTAATTGGTTTAATAATTAAGTGGGTTGGGTTATTTGTATTGCTTGGGCTTGGGCTTGTTTAAGGTTTTGAGTGTGATTTAGGCCCAAATTTGTGAAATGGACTCATTTATTATTTTGTTATTCTGATTTTGTATTATTTAAAAAAAAGTCAAAAAAAAAGAAAAAAAAGAGTCAAAAAAAAGAGGAGTTAAAAAAAAGTATCGAGAATTTTTGGGTATTTCCTGACATTTTTTATAGGTGCATTATTTTCTCGACGAATACGGAATTTTCTATCTTGGCATCTCAGCGCTTAACAGTTCAGAAAGTGGAGGCATTCAACGCTAGGACGACTCGGGCCAACTGAACTCAGGGAGTCTCTGATCCTACTCATTTTAGTGACACTGTTACTGTATTTTAGAATTGCATCAATACTTCTTTGTGTTGCTAATATTTTAACAATTTAGTCTTAATCTATTGGATTGAAATTCACGAGCCGACCCCATTGTTCACTCGTTTACCCCACGTGACTAGACCTAGCATTTGTACCTTTGCTTTTTATTTTATTGGCATTAGTAGTATTAGCTTGCGATCGGGGTATACGTAATCCCCACGATAAAATAAAATAATAATAATAACAATGGATAAATTTCAATGACTATTTTCCCTGCTAGCACTCGTTGGTTGTTGATCTCAGTAGACACTTCACCTAGCTTGTGTGTTACCGTGTATGCAATTGCGTAGTGGTCGCGTTACTGCCTCTAGCTCTAGTACCGTTGCCATGGACCCTTCCCACATTGAAGCTATCACCCGACAGTTGGCACAATTACAAAATCAACTAACGGCTGTCTAAATTGAGTTAGCCGCTACACGCGAGGAGAATAGAGCCCTAACCGCTAGGGTAAACACTCTTAACCCGACCCAATACTCAACTGAGGCTGAAAATTCTGACGCTTCCATTAATAGACCTCATCGTCGTCCACAAGGTAGTCGACACCATGCTAGACATGATCGTAGGGAAGGAAATCAAGCTCGTGGGCGCGAGCGGGAATATCACCGTCATGGTACACTGTCCCCCCCTCACCACGAGGAGCGCCTCTTTCGAAATATTAAGTTGGATGCCCCTACATTTGATGGTTGTCTAGATCCTAGCGTATTCAATCAATGGGTTAGAGATATGGATCGCTTCTTCGCCTGGTATGGGGTCCTTGAAGATCGAAGGGTACAATTTGCCAGTTTGAAATTGACTGGCACCGCTCAACTATTTTAGGAAAGCGTTGAGGACCTCCTAGAGAGGTGCCATGCTCCCCCTGTTGGGAGTTGGAATGAAATGAAGCGTCGCCTTGAAGAAAAATATTTACCTCAATCTTACAGGGGCAACTTACTGGATCAATGGAACGCACTGACACAAAGCAGTCGACCTGTGACCGAATATGTTGCTCAGTTTGACGAGTTTCGAATGAGATGTCAGGTCGTTGAGGACGAAGTCATGACTTTGAGTAGGTTTAGGCAAGGCCTACGGGATGATCTTAGACGTGAGCTTGTTCTTAGAGGTGTCACCACTTTTGACCACGCCTACTCTTTCGTTCGGGATTACAAGTTAGTGACTAGGACACCGTACAGAAGTCGTAGTGACTCCCGCACCGCAACCTCTTCTGCATCCGCTCCACCCCCTAAGTCTATTCTAGGACCTCCTCCTTCTAATCTTACCCCTACATCGGATAGTAAAGGTAGAGGTTCTGAGGTTTCAAGAACGTCCTCTCGTTTGCAATGCTTCAACTGTAAGAGTTTTGGTCACATTGCTTCTAAGTGTTGATGTAGAATGATTAATTCAATAAAGATAACAAGAAGAGATATAGGAGAAGGAAGAAGAAGAAGAACCCGCACCGCAACCTCTTCTGCATCCGCTCCACCCCCTAAGTCTATTCTAGGACCTCCTCCTTCTAATCTTACCCCTACATCGGATAGTAAAGGTAGAGGTTCTGAGGTTTCAAGAACGTCCTCTCGTTTGCAATGCTTCAACTGTAAGAGTTTTGGTCACATTGCTTCTAAGTGTTGATGTAGAATGATTAATTCAATAAAGATAACAAGAAGAGATATAGGAGAAGGAAGAAGAAGAAGAAGAAATAGGGCACAAGAGGGAGAAGAGATGGCAGCAGCCAAACCAATAATTCTCAATTAATTCATCATCCCAAATAACAATGTAAGATAGGTTTAAATACTGGAGAATAATGCAAACCTAGGGCCAAGCCCAATACACAAATCCATAAAATTAAAATAACCTAAATTCCAACTAAAATAATTAAAATTGCTAAAATTAATTAAAATTGGATGTCCTCATCAATTCTTCCGGGGTGGGAGAGAAAACTCGACCCTGTCGAGTGGCTATATCACCATAGGCATCTGTCAATCTCCCAACCATAAGCTGAGTGGCTGGGCGAGCTTCTTCCTGCGTCTGTAGAAATGCGTCAGTGGCGGTCTGAACCTGGTGTCCTCACCAACTCCCCTCGGGTGGACGGGAGGCGATCTGGGCCAAGGAAGATCCTGCTGACTCCGATAAAGCTCTAGCAAATCTGGATCCAAATGCTGTAGTGTCTCCCTGGAGATCCATGCACAATCAGAATCTGGTCGACCAACCCAACGAACAAGGAAGCGCTGAACCTCTCCATCATTAGTGAACACAGTTTCTTCATCTAAAATAGCATCAATTTTATCTGTGTGTGCTGTGAGAGGTGGTAGTGGGTTAGAAAGGGCAAAAAATCAGGGTCAAGGTTCACAAAAGGAGGTAACAGAGGATCATATGAGGGAATGAAATGGTCTTTATAAGCACCTAAGTCCTCAACATTGAAAGTAGAGTGGTAACCAATGTGAGGTGGAATGTCAACAACATACACATTTGGACCAACTTGCTTTAAAATTTTAAAAGGACCA